AGATGGGAGATAAAAAGTAACATTGTTTATAAACATGGAACAGACAAGAGATATAATGTTACTTTGTATCTCTCGTCTGTCCATGCAAAAAAAATGTTACAATCTCTTTGGCAACAACTCATTGGGAATGGTCCACAAATGCAAGGGGGAGGCATAGAAGGACAGGGCGTACGGCATGCACCCTGTGCACTTCCATGACGTGTTGAACACCCATTGTCTATGACTGGGTGACCCCTTGACTCTGACGTCACACAGATATGTGGCCCGGTGTGCTGGGCTTTTTGCCGCGGGGCTACATATTTGCGTATCTCCCTTTGTGCTGGCTGCGCCCCGCATGGCTGAACCGATATGAGCAGAGTGAGCACAAGTCCCGCCACGCCTGATATTGGACTAGATCTACTAAAGGCACAGACAGTGATCAGAGTAAGGGGAATACATCATAAGTAAGGGGACCCAATCAGGTGCAAGGGAAATGAGGAGAAGGGATTTGCGCTAGCACACGATTGGCTGTTGACTCCGCTTCATATTATTCACTCGCATTCCCTTTGCTCCGCCTCTTCAGTAAATGGACCTCATTGTCTTGTTTTAGGTGAGCAACCGGCAGATCATCCACAAACTCTTCTTTGATGTCGGCCTTGAGGACGACTCAACACTCGATGCCGAATCTCTGAAGGTAATTGCAGTTTTATGATGTACAGTCAGGTCCATAAATATTGGGACATGGACACAATTCTAACATTTTTGGTTCTATACACCACCACAATGGATTTGAAATGAAACAAACAAGATGTGCTTTAACTAGACTGTCAGCTTTAATTTGAGGGTATTTACATCCAATCAGGTGAACGGTGTAGGAATTACAACAGTTTACATATGTGCCTCCCACTTGTTAAGAGACCAAAAGTAATGGGACAGAATAATAATCATAAATCAAACGTTCACTTTTTAATACTTGGTTGCAAATCCTTTGCAGTCAATTACAGCCTGAAGTGTGGAACGCATAGACATCCCCAGACGCTGGGTTTTTTCATCCTGGTGATGCTCTGCCAGGCCTCTAACTGCAACTGTCTTCAGTTCCTGCTTGTTCTTGGGGCATTTTCCCTTCAGTTTTGTCTTGCAGCAAGTGAAATGCTCAATCGGATTCAGGTCAGGTGATTGACTTGGCCATTGCAGAACATTCCACTTCTTTCCCTTTAAAAACTCTTTGGCTGCTTTTGCAGTCTGCTTTGGGTCATTGTCCATCTGCACTGTGAAGCGTCCAATGAGTTCTGAAGCATTTGGCTGAATATGAGCAGATAATATTCCCGAAACTTTCACAATTCATCCGGCTGCTTCTGTCAGCAGTCACATCATCAATAAATACAAGAGAAGCAGTTCCATTGGCAGCCATACAAACATGCCCACGCCATGACACTTGATCACTGATGAGGTGGTATGCTTAGGATCATGAGCAGTTCCTTCTCCATACTCTTCTCTTCCCAATCACTCTGGTACAAGTTGATGTCGGTCTCATCTGTCCATAAGGATGTTGTTCCAGAACTGTGAAGGCTTTTTTACATGTCGTTTGGCAAACTAATCTGGCCTTCCTGTTTTTGAGGCTCACCAATGGTTTCCATCTTGTGGTGAACCCTCTGTATTCACTCTGGTGAAGTCTTCTCTTGATTGGTGACTTTGACACACATACACCTACCTCCTGGAGAGTGTTCTTGATCCGGCCAACTGTTGTGAAGGGTGTTTTCTTCAGGGAAAGAATTCTTCGGTCATCCACCACAGTTGTTTTCCGTGGTCTTCCGGTCTTTTGGTGTTGCTGAGCTCACCGGTGCGTTCCTTCTTTTTAAGAATGTTCCAAACAGTTGTTTTGGCCACGCCTAATGTTTTTGCTATCTCTCTGATGGGTTTGTTTTGTTTTTTTTTCAGCCTAATGATGGCTTGCTTCACTGATAGTGACAGCTATTTGGATCTCATCTTGAGAGTTGACAGCAACAGATTCCAAATGCAAATAGCACACTTGAAATGAACTCTGGACCTTTTATCTGCTCATTGTAATTGGGATAATGAGGGAATAACACACACCTGGCCATGGAACAGCTGAGAAGCCAATTGTCCCATTACTTTTGTCCCTTACCAAGTGGGAGGCACATATGCAAACTGTTGTAATTTCTACACCGTTCACCTGATTTGGATGTAAATACCCTCAAATTAAAGCTGACAGTCTGCAGTTAAAGCACATCTTGTTTGTTTCATTTCAGATCCTTTGTGGTGGTGTATAGAGCCAAAAATGTTAGAATTGTGTCGATGTCCCAATATTTATGGACCTGACTGTATGTATGCTGAGGGCGGGGTCAGTGCTGACCACAACAACCAATCAGACAGCACCAGGATAACCTGCCGCTCAGAGGTGCCGGCCAGATGGAGCTGTTTTGGTTGGCTGGCTGCACTCGTCACATCAGAAATGACAAAAACTTTATTGTTAAAGGCACAAACACAAGTGTAACCCAGACGTGGTTCCCAACAATAAAGCTTTGTCATTGCTGGAGAACTGGCATTTTCCTTGTGGAAGTACATGAGGGCGACCAATCGGCTGCCTGTTTTGTCATTGCTGCAGTGACTTATCCCCGGAATAATGGAAGCTTCGCTCTATGTACTATTCCTCTAAATTGTGTCATGTTATTGCAGAATGAAGTTGACCGAATAAAAGCCAGCCTCCACATCAAAGGTGAGTGCATCAAACGGGCAACTGCAGAGACTGCGGGAAATCTCCCCATTGTGGGAGGGGCAGAGACACAATTACTGCAGGGAAATCTCCCCATTGTGGGAGGGGAAGAGACACAAACTACTGCGGGAAATCTCCCCATTGTGGGAGGGCAGAGACACAATTAATGCAGGGAAATCTCCCCATTGTGGGAGGGGAAGAGACACAAACTACTGCGGGAAATCTCCCCATTGTGGGAGGGGCAGAGACACAATTAATGCAGGGAAATCTCCCCATTGTGGGAGGGGCAGAGACACGATTACTGCAGGGAAATCTCCCCATTGTGGGAGGGACGCAGAGACAAACTACTGCAGGGAAATCTCCCCAGTGTGGGAGGGGCAGAGACACAAACTACTGGAGGAAATCCCCATTGTGGGAGGGGCAGAGGTAAACTACAGGAAATCTCATTGTGGGAGGAGCAGAGACACAAACTAGGGAAAATCTCCCCATTGTGGAAGGGGCGCAGAGACAAACTACTGCAGGGAAATCTCCCCATTGTGGGAGGGGCAGAGACACAAACTACTATAGGAAATCTCTCCATTGTGGGAGGGGCAGAGACACAATTACTGCAGGGAAATCTCCCCATTGTGGGAGGGGCAGAGACGATTACTGCAGGGAAATCTCCCCATTGTGGGAGGGGCAGAGAAAACTACTGCAGGGAAATCTCCCCATTGTGGGAGGGGCAGAGAGACAAACTACTGGAGGAAATCCCCATTGTGGGAGGGGCAGAGAGAAAAACTACAGCAGGAAATCTCATTGTGGGAGGGGCAGAGAGACAAACTACTGTGGGAAATCTCCCATTGTGGGAGGGGCAGAGACACAAACTACTGCGGGAAATCTCCCCATTGTGGGAGGGGCAGAGACACAAACTACTGCAGGAAATCTCCCCATTGTGGGAGGGGCAGAGACACAAACTACTGCAGGAATCTCCCCATTGTGGGAGGGGCAGTAACAAACTACTGCAGGGAAATTTCATTGTGGGAGGGGCAGAGAGACAAACTATTGATTTTTGTTGTAACACAATTGAATTTCCCATCAGAGAGGGAGAAGCGGGAATGTCAGGACTTGGTGGACTCCCTGCGGCAGATTCTGGATGAGAGGAACGTCACCATAGAATGTCTGGAGAAGAAGATTGGAGACTATGAGATGCTTTGCACATCACTGAAGGTACAGCGGACGCTGCAGAATATGTGGCCTTATTTTATAATCTTCTGTATGATGTTTGCATTTCTTTGTTCTTTTCGGTCTTTAGAAACAAATGAAATTTTTTGACGTGCAGCAGGCAGAAACCAAAACTGCCAAGGAGGAGGCCCGCAAGCTGCGCAATAAGCTGCGCTCACTAGAAAGGTTAGTTAGGTGGAGTTTTAGGTGATTGGGGGGATATTGATTGGTTAGGCGGAGCAGGAGGGTGATCAAGGTTGGTATAGGTTAGGTGGAACAAGAAGTCATTGGGGATGATATTGGGGAGGTGAGCGGCAAGTTGTCAGGGATGAAATTTTGGTTAGGTGATTGGGAATGGTATTGGTTAGGTGGCGTGCCGGGTGATTGGGAATGGTATTGGTTAGGTGGCGTGCCGGGTGATTGGGAATGGTATTGGTTAGGTGGCGTGCCAGGTGACTGGGAATGGTATTGGTTAAGTGGATCGCCGGGTGATTGGGAATGGTATTGGTTAGGTGGCGTGCCAGGTGACTGGGAATGGTATTGGTTAAGTGGATCGCCGGGTGATTGGGAATGGTATTGGTTAGGTGGCGTGCCAGGTGATTGGGAATGGTATTGGTTAGGTGGCGTGCCAGGTGATTGGGAATGGTATTGGTTATCGGAGCTATAACCTTTCCTTCCTGTTTTTCAGTATTGAGGTTTTGCTGCAATCCCGGAGACATGAGGTAGAGGAAATGGTCAGGGATATGGGGTCCGGACCGTCTGCGGTCGAGCAGTTGGCCATATACTGCGTGTCTCTGAAGAAGTAAGTTGCACCCTATTACTATGTGAAGAGGGAATCCCATGCCACTGTCCTTTATTCCCGGGGAAGAGGGAGTCTTTCTATTGCATACAAGTTGTTAAATGTATAGTTGCATTGTTAAATCCTCCCTGCGGCCTCTCCTCCAGTCTTGCACAGGTGTACCGGCTCCTCCCCTCCAGTCTTGCACAGGTGTACCCGCTCCTCCCCTCCAGTCTTGCACAGGTGTACCGGCTCCTCCCCTCCAGTCTTGCGCAGGTGTAAGAGGCTCCTCCCCTCCATCTTGCGCAGGTGTATCGGCTCCTCCCCTCCAGTCTTGCGCAGGTGTATCGGCTCCTCCCCTCCAGTCTTGCGCAGGTGTAGCGGCTCCTCCCCTCCAGTCTTGCGCAGGTGTAGCGGCTCCTCCCCTCCAGTCTTGCGCAGGTGTAGCGGCTCCTCCCCTCCAGTCTTGCGCAGGTGTAGCGGCTCCTCCCCTCCAGTCTTGCGCAGGTGTAGCGGCTCCTCCCCTCCAGTCTTGCGCAGGTGTAGCGGCTCCTCCCCTCCAGTCTTGCGCGGGTGTAGCGGCTCCTCCCCTCCAGTCTTGCGCGGGTGTAGCGGCTCCTCCCCTCCAGTCTTGCGCGGGTGTAGCGGCCCCTCCCCTCCAGTCTTGCGCGGGTGTAGCGGCTCCTCCCCTTCATTCTTGCGCAGGTGTACCGGCTCCTCTCCTGGACTGTAATGACTTCCTCTGATGTCACTGCACACTGGGAGCTTCTCACAATGTGCATTAGAAGCTGCAGCAAGTCAGATAGCGCTCCAACTCATTTCCTGGCTGGAGGATGACCAGCATTTCAGTTTTCAGTAATAGAGGGTCAGCGTCATATGTGGGTGTGACCTCGGGTGATCTTCATGCAAATGTAGCCGGCCTAAAACCACCCGCTGCGGCATACTGAGTGCCACGGGAGAAACATGGGTGCAGTTTTTTTTTTTTTTTTTACATTTTTATTTTATTTTTTTATAATTTTTTGTTTTTTTTTACATACTGTCACCCTAACAGTACAGTGTCACCATGGTGACACTGTACTATTTTGTGGGGAGTGATGAAGATTTTGTTTTTTTTTTTTACGCTGATTGCTTTTACACCCATAAAGGTTGTAAAAGCAATAATTTCTCCTTCTCTCTGGCTGCATTCCTTCAGCCATTGAGAAATACGGTGTGAGCTGTGATTGGTCACAGCTTGTCACATGGTACAAGCCTGTTATGAATAGCCCTGTACCATGTGATCTCTGTGATCATTCACAGATTTCACACGTAGTAAGCATTGATGTCAGAAGTGACATCTTGCTTATTACTCTGCATGCGATCACTGATTGGCCAATCAGTGATCACATGATCGGGACCTCGCAGAGAGGTCCTGTACGATGATCGGTGTCTGGAGGACACAGTGGGCACTGGATCGCTCCTAGGGAGTGCGCACAAGCAGGGGGCGGGGAGGCCGTTTATATACAACGGCCGGACGGGAAGTGGTTAACGCAGATTGCTGTCATGCAGTGGCCAATGTCTCTGTTCAGTAGACATGCAGAGAATGCTGCAGGCCAGCAATGATCGAATCATGCAGTTTGTTTGCCGTTCAAACCCCCAGAAAGCCGCATGGAGCCCCCTCTGCCGCAACTTCATTCTAGCTGTATAAATATCAAAGTTGTGTATTTCAAGTGTCAGACATTCCCATGTACTGTGGATGATCGTATTCCTTCCCCACCGCCAGTGCCGGGCCTATAAATGTCATGTAATGGACGCACTTGTGCGGGATGCAGTGTCTGCTGGGGGAGGGGACGGCTCCACTTTATAAACAGTTTATATTCTCTTCTTTTGGCTGACCCCGGGTAAAAGACTCGTGTCTGGCACTTGTAGGGTCCCCGGGGGTCACCAGAGACTCACTTTAGGTAAATAATTTATATTAGAGCACTCCGCTGAGCGGAAACAAGGTGCAGATGAGGATATAATGAGGATTTCCGCCATTAACCCCTTGCTCCCCTCTCCTCCAGAGAGTATGAAAACCTGAAAGAAGCTCGGAAAGTATCGGCAGATATGACGGAGAAGCTGAAGAAGGAATTGTTCGCTTCGCTGCAAACCACAAGGTTTGTCTTTTTTTTTTTTTTTTGTTTTTTGTAACAATTTTTAATTATTTTTATTGATTTTTTTTTTTTTTTTTTTTTTTTTTTTTAGGAGTGACTCCACTTTTTTGTTAGAGTATTTTAATCCTTATGCTGCTAGCATTAGTAAATAGGAAGATATTTTATATTTACTTGTTTTAAACTTTAAATTGATAGTAAATGCAGTTTAACCCCTTGATGCCGACATCACACAAATATGCGGCCTCACAGAACTGGGCTTTTTTCCGTGGGGCGCATATTTGTGCTGGGAGCGCAGCGCACTGTGCGCTCCCAGCACAAAGACTGGGGTGTCACTTTTAACGATTGGGACCTGGTACTCCTGATTCCGGGTCACGTGATCGCTGTGATAGCCTCTGATTGGCTATCACAGTGATCAGTCACTGTACAGCCCGGCCCCCTTGTGTTTTTTTTTTTTTTCTCTCTCTATGAATGGTGGAGAGCGATACATTTTCTCTCTCTAACTCCAGGCATAGAGGGAAAAAAATGTTTGGTAAATAATAAAAAAAAACAATAAAGATAATTTAAAAAAAAAAAAATACCTAGATCAAGGTTTGATCTAGTTCAGTGCCAGGGTAAGTGCTTGGGTCAAGATCAAAAGGCCAGGGTCAAAGGTCAGGATTAAAAAAACAAAACTTGGTATTAGTGTCAGTGTGTTTTGGGTAAACAAAAAGCAAACTGCGCACTATTGTTTCTGGGCTGTACTCCGGGTACAAACACACACATCTATGGTATCACTGCGATCGTCAAGAGCTGTAAAATTTATTTTGGGTGGTTCTTTGGTGGTAGGTTCTGGTAGTAACAAGAAACACATAGCTAAATTTAAAAAAAATTCTTTTTTTTTACTATTTTGGCCCAGGTTTTCTTTGATAATAAACTAAATCAGGAGATATCCATTACCATTTACCATTCAATCTTGAAAGCCCAATTTGTCCTGAAAAAAACGCGGTATAATTCACCTGGATGTACAAAGTAGGTGTGAGGATACGGACGGTTTTACTAACACATGTCAACGTTGCAAAATTGTGCTTAGGTGTTAAGATTTGTTTTACCCTTAGGCGTGAAGGGGTTAAAACAAAAAATATATCAAACATGTCATACTTACCTGTTCTCTGTCATGGATTTCCTCCTCCCCAGGCTCAGAAAGCAGAGATGGAGCTGCAGAAGATGAGGGATGAGCTAGGTGCCTCTCAAAAGGAGCTGCAAAATGCCGATAAGGAAATCATGGTAAGACACTGTGGTGACCCCATGGGGTAGATTCACTACAGCTGGAGCACTCAGGATCTGGTGCAGCTTTGCATGGGAGCCAATCAGCTTCTAACTTCAGCTTGTTCAGTTAAAGTGGAGTTCCAGCTGAAAAAATCTAAATAAAATCAGCAACTACAAAAACTGTAGCTGCTGACTTTTAAAATACAGCCACTTACCTGTCCCACGATCCAGCGGTGTCCTCACCGCCGCCGGTTTCACCGGCCGTCCTCACCGCCGCCGGTTTCACCGGCCGTCCTCACCGCCGCCGGTTTCACCGGCCGTCCTCACCGCCGCCGGTTTCACCGGCCGTCCTCACCGCCGCCGGTTTCACCGGCCGTCCTCACCGCCGCCGTCCTCACCGTCGCCGTCCTCACCGCCGCCGTCCTCACCGCCGCCGTCCTCACCGCCGCCGTCCTCACCGCCGCCGTCCTCACCGCCGCCGTCCTCACCGCCGCCGTCCTCACCGCCGCCGTCCTCTCTCCCCTTGTGGCTTCACAGCCGGGTGCCCATGCAGGAGAAGCGCAGAGCTTTGTGAATGGCCCCGTAGTCTTCTAGGATCTGTCATGTGTCCCAGAAGACTACGGGGAGGGAGGACAACTTGCGCCTCCAATCGCCTATCACAGCGGAACCTTTTACCACAACCCCCCCCCCGCTCCCGAAAGGTGCCAGTCCTTAATGGGGAGCGGGTGAAAATGCATTAAAGCGAAACTTCCCCTTTTGGGTGGAGTTCTGCTTAAAGCTTTGGAAATCTGGAAACTCTGGGTATATATTTCACAGCCGGAGTTTTCTGGAAATAATGAAAGCTGGTATATGATTTGACTTTCCATCCTCCACACAAATCTGACATCCGTATTGTACAAGTATACAGTATATACTCCATCTCCACAGATTTGTTGGAGATGGAGCCATTGGTGGAGCCTTCCATTGATATGGTGGGGAGTCCTGCTTGCACTGGTACACCATCATATCTTTCAGAGGGACATTCAGATATTCTGTCCATCATGCAGGTCAGACACAGATTTGATGACCAGCCTTCTCTTCTGTGGGATGTTGTTTGATTTGATGCTTTTTTATTTTTCTTAGAGTTTGAAGAAAAGGATTGAGTTCTTGCAGAAGACACTGAGCACCCCGACTGCCACCAATGAAGCCCTTAGCCGCCTGATATTTGAGAGGTTTGTCAACAGCATTTTAATCCAGAAACTTTCCAGATTTACTGCAATGTGTCTATATTGGGGGAAGGGGGGGGGGTCGGGGGTCAGCAAACCAGCAATTTGTGGGCGTGGGGGCAATTTGTGGGCGTGGGGGCGTAGATCATAAATAATGACCCATATATTCAATGCCACGGGCTTTTAGAACTGCCTCCGCTTATCAGACCCCAAGCAGCACTGCAGAGCTGAGAGAATCCCACCCGTTCTGAAGCACTGGTCCCCCTTCTGCATCTTTCCTCTATCCAGAGGTGGATCTGCAGTGACTAGGTCACTGACTGGGGGGAGGGGGAAGAAAGAGCATTTTTGATGGGATATGATGGTGGCACAGGATGGAGGGGGGGGGGGGGGTTTGGTGGCGCAGGATGGGGGTTGGAGGTTTGGTGGCACTGGGGATACCTATATGATAATGATGAGCAGTATTATATTGGAGGCACTACAATGGAGGCTCACCGACCACCAATGTAATATTATTATTATACAGGATTTATATAGCGCCAACAGTTTGCGCAGCGCTGTACAAAATGAAGGCGGACATTGCAGTTACAATACAGTTTGGTACAAGAGGACACAGAGGGCCCGGCTCATTAGAGCTTACAATCTAGGAGGAAGGGTTGAGTGACGCAAAAGGTAATAGCTGTGGGGGGGATGAGCTGATGGAGGAAATAAAAGGCAGTTTACTAGATAGAAAGAGGATAGGCTTCTTTAAAGAGGTTTTCAGGGATCGTCTAAAGGTGGATAGATTAGGAGACAGCCGGACCGATTGGGGTAGTGAGTTCCATAGGATGGGAGAAGCTTGGGAGAAGTCCTGGAGGTGACACGGGAACTAGAGAGTAGAAGGTCTTGGGAGGATCGAAGAGAGCGGTTTGGTTGGTATTTTGAGACCAGGTTGGTGATGTAGCTGGGGGCCGAGTTGTGGATGGCTTTGTAAGTTGTGAGTATTTTTAAATGTTCGTTTGGCGAGTGGAAGCCAGTGGAGGGATTGGCAGAGAGGGGTGGAGGACACTGAGTGGAGACCAGTGGAGGGATTGGCAGAGAGGGGTGGAGGACACTGAGTGGAGACCAGTGGAGGGATTGGCAGAGAGGGGTGGAGGACACTGAATGGAGGACAGTGGAGAGGGTGGATGACACTGGAGGGAGTGGGGGATTGGCAGAGAGGGGAGAAGGACAGTGTATGGATGACACTGGAGTGATGGGGGATTGGCAGAGAGGGGTGGAGGTCAGTGGTGTGGGATTGGCAGAGAGGGTGAGGACACTGAATGGAAGCCAGTGATGGGATTGGCAGAGAGGGGTGGAGGACACTGGATGGAAGCCATTGGGATTGGCAGAGAGGGGTGGAGGACACTGGATGGAAGCCAGTGATGGGATTGGCAGAGAGGGGTGGAAGGCAGTGGAGGGATTGGAAGAGAGGGGTAGCAGACACTGAACGGTTGGTAAGGTGGATGATGATAGATGATGTTGGTTGGACACCGCACTGACCAATGCAAGTAAAACATCATTTGGGGGGGGGGGGGGGTGGACAAGAAGGGGGAGGGGTTAGCGGCACACTGGCACCCAGTGTATGATTTATGTTAATGCACTAAAATCACTGGCCACTCCTACTGTAGTTTTGGCCATGCTTGTTCCCTACTTTACCCAGTGTTGTTGGGCTTCCATGTTTTTGACATTTTTCTGGAGTTGCCTGCCCTGGGTAGGCGCATGATGGATGCCCCCTGGTATAAATAATGGATGCTCTTATACTCCATGTGGACAGGGCTCTGTATAGCAAGTTGGGGGTCATCCTGACTTTTATCTCATTGTAACCATGTTCCATATTTTTTTTTATTTTTTTTTTTTAGCCCTGCTCCCATTGGACTAAAAAGGCCAAAGCTCCGCCCACCAATGTTAGGTGAAGATATAAATCTTGACCTTACCTTTGATATGGACACCCCGGAACCAAACCCATCCAAACCAGTAATCGCTCCCTTTAAGAAGTTGAAGCTCGATCGCGGAAAGTGAGTAATGGAGCTCTGTGCAGGGTGTTTGTGTCTGGGGTTAGTTCAGTTTTTATTTCATACAGTGGGGCAAAAAAGTATTTAGTCACCACCAATTGTGCAAGTTCTCCCACTTACAAAGATGAGAGAGGCCTGTAATTGGCATCATAGGGAGACCTCAACTATGAGAGACAAAATGAGAAAAACAAATCCAGACAATCACATTGGCTGATCTGGAAATAATTTATTTGCACATTATGGTGGAAAATAAGTATTTGGTCACCTACAAACAAGCAAGATTTCTGGCTCTCACAGACCTGGACCTTCTTCTTTAAGAGGCTCCTCTGCCCTGCACTCATTACCTGTATCAATGGCACCTGTTTGAACTTGTTATCAGTATAAAAGACACCTGTCCACAACCTCAAACAGTCACACTCCAAACTCCACTATGGTGAAGACCAAAGAGCTGTCGAAGGACACCAGAAACAAAAAATTGTAGACCTGCACCAGGCTGGGAAGACTGAATCTGCAACAGGCAAGCAGCTTGGTGTGAACAAATCAACTGTGGGAGCAATAATTAGAAAATGGAAGACATACAAGACCACTGATAATCTCCCTTGATCTGGGGATCCACGCAAGATCTCAACACCCCGTGGGTCAAAATGATCACAAGAACGGTGAGCAAAAATCCCAGGACCACACGGGGGGACCTAGTGAATGACCTGCAGAGAGCTGGGACCAACGTAACAAAGGCTACCATCAGTAACAACACTATGCCCACCAGGGACTCAGATCCTGCAGTGCCAGACGTGTCCCCCTGCTTAAGCCAGTACATGTCCGGGACCCGTCTGAAGTTTGCTAGAGAGCATTTGGATGATCCAGAAGAGGATTGGAGAATATCATATGGTCAGATGAAACCAAAATAGAACTGTTTGGTAGAAACACAACACGTCGTGTTTGGAGGAGAGAGAATGCTGAGTTGCATCCAAAGAACACCATACCTACTGTGAAGCATGGGGTGGCAACATCATGCTTTGGGGCTGTTTCTCCGCAAAGGGACCAGGACGACTGATCCATGTACAGGACAGAATGAATGGGGCCAGTATCGTGAGATTTTTGAGTGCAAACCTCCTTCCATCAGCAAGGGCATTGAAGATGAAACATGGCTGGGTTTTCCAACATGACAATGATCCCAAACATACCGCCCGGGCAAACGAAGGAGTGGCTTCGTAAGAAGCATTTCAAGGTCCTGGAGTGGCCTAGCCAGTCTCCAGATCTCAACCCCATAGAAAACCTTTGGAGGGAGTGAAAGTCCGTTTGCCCAGCGACAGCCCCAAAACATCACTTCTCTAGAGGAGATCTGCATGGAGGATGGGCCAACATACCCGCAACAGTGTGTGCCAACCTTGTGAAGACTTCCAGGAAACGTCTGACCTCTGTCATTGCCAACAAAGGATATATAACAAAGTATTGACATGAACTTTTCATATTCACCAAATACTTATTTTCCACCATAATTTGCAAATAAATTATTTCCAGATCAGCCAATGTGATTGTCTGGCTTTGTTTTCTCATTTTGTCTCTCATAGTTGAGGTCTACCTATGATGCCAATTCCAGGCCTCTCTCATCTTTGTAAGTGGGAGAACTTGTACAATTGGTGTGTGACTAAATACTTTTTTGCCCCACTGTATTTCCTTTTTTTCCTCAGTTCCCCTGTTAAGAGCCCAGCAAAGAATACCTCGCAGGAGTCTAAAGCCTTAAAGGTGAGTGCCCTTTAAAGTGATAAACATGATGATGTACCTACCTGCTCTGTGCAATGGTTCTGCTCTCTCCCCCCCCCTCGCTTTCTTGCTCTCCACCCCCCTTCCTCTTGCCTCCTCCCCCCCCCTTTCTTGCTCTCCCCCCCCGCTTTCTGCTCTCCTCCCCCCCCTTTCTTGCTCTCTCCCCCCCCTTTCTCTCTCTCTACTCCCCCCCCCACGCTTTCTTGCTCTCTCTCCCCCCCGCTTTCTTGCTCTCTCTCTCCCCCCCGCTTTCTGCTTGCTCTCTCTCCCCCCTTTCTTGCTGGCTCTCCCCCCCCCCTCCCCCCCTTTCTTGCTCTCTACCTCCCCCCCGCTTTCTTGCTCTCTCTCTCCCCCCCGCTGCTTTCTTGCTCTCTCCCCCTTTCTCGCTCTCTCCCCCCCTTTCTCGCTCCTCTCCCCCCCCCCCCCCGCTTTCTCGCTCTCTCCCCCCCCCCCCCTCTCCTCGCTCTCTCCCCCCCCCCCCTTTCTCGCTCCCCCTCCCCCCCCCCGCTTTTCCCCTCTCTCCCCCCCTGCTTTCTTGCTCTCTCCCCCCCCCTGCTTTCTTGCTCTCCCCCCCCCGCTCCTCTCTCCCCCCCGCTTTCTTGCTCTCTCCCCCCCCCCGCTCTCATGCTCTCTCCCCCCCCCCCCCTTTCTTTCTCCCCCCCCCATCCCCCCCCCTATGGTGTCTCTCCCCCTTTCCCCTGCTCTCTCCACCCCCCCCCGCTTTCTCGCTCTCTCCCCCCCCCCGCTTTCTCGCTCTCTCTCCCCCCCCCCCCCCGCTCTCCTCTCCCCCCCCCCCCCGCTCCTCTTCTTCTCTCCCCCCCCCCCCCTCCTCGCCCCCTCTCCCCCCCCCCCCCCCCACGCTTTCTCGCTCTCCCCCCCCCCCCCCTCCCTCTCTCCCCCCCCCCCTTTCTCCCCCCTCTCCCCCCCCCCCCTCTCTCCTCGCTCTCTCCCCCCCCTCCCCCTCTTTGCTCTCGCCTCTCCCCCCCCCCGGCCCCCCTCTCCCCCCCCCCCCGCTTTCTCCTCCCTCCCCCCTCCCCTCTTTCTTTGCTCTCCTCCCCCCCCTCCCCCCGCTTTCTTTCTCTCTCTCTCCCCCCCCCCCCCGCTCCTCTCTCTCTCTCCCCCCCCCTCTTCTCCTCTCTCTCTCCCTCCCCCCCCCCCCTCGCTCTCTCTCCCCCCCCTCTCTTCTCTCTCCCCCCCTCTCTCTTGCCTCTCTCCCCCCCCCTCCCTCCTCCCCCCCCCCTCTCTCCCCCTCGCTCTCCCCCCCTCTCTTTGCTCTCTCTCCCCCCCCTCTCTCTTGCTCTCTCTCCCCCCCCCTCTCTTGCTCTCTCTCCCCCCCCTCTCTTGCTCTCTCTCCCCCCTCTCTCTTGCTCTCTCTCCCCCCTCTCTCTTGCTCTCTCCCCCCCCCCCTCTCTGCTCTCCCCCCCTCCTCTCCTCTCCCCCCACTCTCTCTCTGCTCTCTCCCCCCCTCTCTCTTGCTCTCTCTCCCCCCCCTCTCTTGCTCTCTCTCCCCCCCTCTCTTGCCTTTCTCCCCCCCCCACCCCCTTTATCTTGCTCTTTCCTCTCCCCCCCTCGTTCTCTTGCTCTCTCCCCCCCCCCCCCCCCTCTCTTGCTCTCTTGCCCTCGCCCTCTCTCTTGCTCTCTCCCCCCCCTCGCTCTCTTGCTCTCTCCCTTCCCCTCGCTCTCTTGCTTGCCCCCCCCCCCCCTGCTCTCTTGCTCTCTCCCCTTTCCCTCGCGCTCTCCCCCCCTTTCCCATTTTTTTTCTATGTGTATACATCAATTCACAGTCATACTATATGTATCATACTTTAGTTCACTGGCCCCTTTGTGTTCTCAGACTGCGCCAGGTCACATAAACATTGATGAGGAAGATGAACCCAGGTTGCCATCATTTATAAAGAACTCTCTGCTGCACAAGAGACCGGTTGGGAGTATGTTACCTGCACAGCGGAACACAGGAGTGGTGAGATCTTCCCTATTCGTAGCAATCAGCAAGCTCCAACTTTGAGCATCCCCACCCTCCCTCCAATTCACGGCAATCACCAGGCTCCAACTCCCGGCATCCCCACCCTCCCTCCAATTCACGGCAATCACCAGGCTCCAACTCCAGCAGCCCCACCCTCCCTCCCCCCGGCATCCCCACCCTCCCTCCAATTCATCGCAATCAGCAAGCTTCAACTTCCAGCAGCCCCCACCCTCCCTCCAATTTATAGTAATCACAAGGCTCCAACTTCCAGCACCCCCACCCTTCCTCCAATTTACGGCAATCACCAGGCTCCAACTTCCAGCATCTCCCTCCCCTAAAAACAGGTGGAACATGTACCATGTTCCGAAAGGTGAATTTATCCTTTAAAGCCCTGAAAAAATAGCAATCTTGTAACTTCTATCAGTGTCCAGCAGAGCACTGGTTAAAACTTATAGGGGGAGTTTTCTCTAGGAGGATGCAGAACCCCTCTCTGTCTGGGCAGTGCTGATTGGCCCTGTGCTGATCACATGCACTCTCCCAAGAAGAAAACCAAAAACTTCTAGCAATACACACCAAACTGAGCTTGTGCACAGTGTCTCCACGCGATGTCTTATCAGGAGATAAGAGGGAGACACTGGAAGAAGGGGAGGATCAGAGACGATGGGATCAAACCACATTTTTTACACAATGCAGAGGATTAACCCCTTAGGTCCCACAGTGAGTAACAAGCATGCTTTCCTGCATCTACAGACTGATTTCACTGTTGTGGGTTTAGTAACACTTTAATGGTGTGCAGTGCACAGAGCAAACCAAAGTAGATGTAAAATTAAACAACATTTATACTTGCTACTTATAAAATTAAATCTGTTGTCATTAAAAAAAAAAAAAAAAAAAAAAAAAGCCCAGCATCCTTCACCTCCTCCCACCTACTTCAAAGCAGTTCTCCTATTGCCCCAGTAGAGGCGCTTTTCACACTTGGACATAACCGTGCCTCCCCATATTGACCACATCATTGGAATTAACTAATGTCCTTTTTTTTTTTTTTTTTTTTTTTTATTATCCCCTCTCAGATCAGGACAGGATTTGACGGTCTTGGTGGACGAACAAAATTTATTCAGACTGTATCCTTCTACCCCCATAATAGGGGGTTATCCAGCAGCATGCAGTTAGTGGAGGGTGAGGTGAGGTGTTTGGGTTGAAGGTGGAGCATATGAAAGGAAACCGTAGCGGCACCAGAGGCTGGAGATTTAAAGTGGTTGTGCCCAGTGAAGTGACTGGCCTCAGGTGATACACAGAGATGAAACAAATCCTCCTACATTTGTTGTACCTGTTTATCTACAGCTGTATTTCCCCTACTTCCAGACAAAATACAGGATGTACACAGGATCTCTCAAGTCTGAAAGGCAGGGGGCAGGACGCTGAAGTTACATCACAACCCTTCCATAGACACCCCCCTCCTCCCCATCCTGCGGTTCTGGATTGATGGGATTTAGTAGTTTCAGATTAAAGTGTTTGTAAGTCCTCACATAAACCCAGTGGAGTGCCTGGCCTCAGGTGATACACAGAGATGAAACACATCCTCCTACATAAGTTGTACCTGTATATCTGTAGTCTTCTCTACAGCCATTCAAAGTCCAGAATTTAAATAGCTTTTCTGAGAGTGGGGACACCTGATGCAAAGGCGGACGCTCTGGCGGGGACGCCTTATGCAAAGAGGACGCTCTGGCGGGGGACGCCTTATGCAAAGCTCTGGCGGGGACGCTTATGCAAAGGGACGCTCTGGCGGGGACGCCTTATGCAAAGAGGACGCTCTGGCGGGGACGCCTTATGCAAAGAGGACGCTCTGGCGGGGGTACGCCTTATGCAAAGAGGACGCTCTGGCGGGGGACGCCTTATGCAAAGAGGACGCTCTGGCGGGGACGCCTTATGCAAAGAGGACGCTCTGGCGGGGACGCCTGATGCAAAGAGGACGCTCTGGCGGGGACGCCTGATGCAAAGCGGACGCTCTGGCGGGGACGCCTGATGCAAAGCGGACGCTCTGGCGGGGACGCCTGATGCAAAGCGGACGCTCTGGCGGGGGCGCCTGATGCAAAGCGGACGCTCTGGCGGGGACGCCTGATGCAAAGCGGACGCTCTGGCGGGGACGCCTGATGCAAAGCGGACGCTCTGGCGGGGACGCCTGATGCAAAGCGGACGCTCTGGCGGGGACGCCTGATGCAAAGCGGACGCTCTGGCGGGGACGCCTGATGCAAAGCGGACGCTCTGGCGCAAAGGGGACGCTCTGGCGGGGACGCCTGATGCAAAGGGGACGCTCTGGCGGGGACACCTTATGCAAAGAGGCAAAGGGGACGCTCTGGCGGGGACGCCTGACGCAAAGGGGACGCTCTGGCGGGGACGCCTGACGCAAAGGGGACGCTCTGGCGGGGACACCTGATGCGAGGGGGAACCTTTATGACTTTTTTTTTTTGGCCTACGATTATTTGTCAAATATATATGATGTGGCCCCCATTTTGAGAAGTTTAGAGTCCCTGGCCTAAACAATTACTTTTACGCTGCTTTGGTGGGTAGAGTATCTCTGGCTTTACAAATGATGAGAATTCTGGGAAAGTCCAATCTTTTGAACACTGGTGTATGTTCTGCATCGTATTTATAATACAGGTTCTCTTTATTCTGTGATTCTGTCCCATAGCTGGGTAGACGGGTGCGTTGTATTGTACTTGATGTCCTTAACTTGGTTTCCAGAGCCCCATGACAGAAATCCGGCCTCTGCCTGCCAAGCTAAAGCGGAAGAAGGTGAGCCGGCCGGTGACGTCCTCTACTAGCACATCCAATCAGCCGCGGCTGGAGGACTTCCTGAAGTGAGATGATTTTCCTTCATATCTGTGGACTGTTATAAATTCTAATCCTGTGTATCAGGGTGCCATGTCAGTCCTCTGGACTCCATTCTAGACGAGAGGTTATATGGGAGGCGACTTGTCCTACGTTGTCACCCAATGGCGAGGGTTGTCATAGAACTATGTCCCTCCTTTATATTACTCTGCCTGGAAATCTACGATGTGAACGCGCCATTTTCCTGTGGTGTGTCTGGGCTGTGATTGGACCGGGGGAAGGGGCCTGCCATGCCATGCGGGCTGATTGGTCCTCATGGTATCCTAAACACCACAGACGCTCCCCCATCCCTAGAATATCACCTGATTCTATTTTTTTTTTTTTAACGTTTAATTTATGACTTACCACTGATGCTTCGTGTACATAAAGACAAAACCCTTTTTCGTTTTGGGTGGAGTGGTGAAGGGTTGGAGCCCCTGTTGCTGTCTGTCTCCGCTGAAAGGATTCCTCTATTTGTCTAGGTGACCATTTGTTTCCCAGACAGAAAGTGGTGGGGAATCCAATTGGAGTTGTCCCCAGAGCAAGAAGTGAGGGGAAATCTTCCATTGGGGACAAGTAAGAGGTGATTTCACTTCAGTGAGATTTCTCCCAACAAGTCAATAATATTGATCTACTGCATCCAAAAAAAAAATAGTTTTGACTATACATTCATTCTTGGAATGTATCTAAAGCCAAAAACTATTAGTTTTGGATGAGGGTAGGAGATTTATAACAAACTGTTTTTTTGTTTTTTGGGGGGGGTTTTTTTGTGGACAAAAAGGAATGTATCTAAAGCCAAAAACTATTAGTTTTGGTATAGGAGGGGTAGGAGATTATAACAACTGTTTTTTTTTTTTTTTTTTTTTTTTTTTGGTGGGGTTTTCTGTTTTTTGTTTTTTTTGTGGATCACAAAGGCCAGGCTCACACCAATGACAGCATTTTTCATAAAACTTTACTGGAGCAGTTGTGCACACTTGAACCCGTTTCATCCTGGAGACAGGCTCAGGTATAGGAATGAGTGGTATGACTCCGCCCATCAATAGAGTAAAATGCGTTTTGCGAATTATGACATCTGTTTTTTTGTTTGGTTTTATGTTGGGTTTTTTTGTGGATCACAAAGGCCAGGCTCACTCCAAAGACAGCATTTTTCATAAAACTTTTATGGAGCAGTTGTGCACACTTGAACCCGTTTCTTTCTGGAGACAGGCTCAGGCATAGGAGTGAGTGGTATGACTCCGCCCATCAATAGAGTAAAATGCGTTTTGCGAATTGTATGACATCAGTTTTTTGTTTGGGGTTTTGGGTTTTTTGCTGATCACAAAGACCAGGCTCACTCCAATGACAGCATTTTTCATAAAACTTTATTGGAGCAGTTGTGCACACTTGAACCCGTTTTCATCCTGGAGACAGGCTCAGGCATAGGAGTGAGTGGTATGACTCCGCCCATCAATAGAGTAAAATGCGTTTTGCGAATTGTTATGACATCTGTTTTTTTTGTCTGTTTTTTTTTTTTTTTTTTTTTTTTGGTTTTTTCGTTCGTTTTTTTTTTTTGTGGATCACAAAGGCCAGGCTCACACCAACAACAGCATTTTTCATAAAACTTTATTGGAGCAGTTGTGCACAGTTGAACCCCACTGACCCATTTCATCCTGGAGACAGGCTCAGGCATAGGAGTGAGTGGTATGACTCCGCCCATCAATAGAGTAAAATGCGTTTTGCGAACTATGACATCTGTTTTTTGTTTTGTTTGGTTTTTTTGTCTCTTGCAGATCACAAAGGCCAGGCTCACACCAATGTCAGCATTTTTTCATAAAACTTTATTGGAGCAGTTGTGCACACTTGAACCCCGCTGACCCCTCTTCACGTTTCATCCTGGAGACAGGCTCAGGCATAGGAATGAGTTGTATGACTCCACCCATCAATAGAGTAAAATGCGTAACGGAGGCGTGGCTTCTACTGGTACATAACCGAAACAATAAAAATTTAAGAAAACGCTGACGTGTGTGTGTGTGGTGGGCCAGTCATTGTTCTTCAGCAATCTATGGGGATCGTGGGTGAGCTCCATCCTGACTACACCTGCTCTGCTTGGACACTTTCATGCTATGTAAACTATGGAGCAGCAACATTTCTACCCCCTACTGTTTGTGTTTGTTTTTTTGTTTTGTTTTGTTGGGGAAATTTCTTTTCAGAGCTACCGCAGGGAGCAAGAGAAAATCTCCCAACAGCTGTCCCCATTGGAACATGTCTTTCTACTTCCTGTTCTGGTGACAACTGTAACATTTTGGATTTCCTATCTCTTTCAGTCTTGGTGACCAGGACAAATACAGTGAATTCCTCCCCCTCTCCCAACCCTCTGGGGGGGACAACAATCAAAAACTAACCCCTTATCACTCCATTCCCGACTAAAAGGGCTATAGATGCACTTTATTGTTTTTTTTTTTTTTTATTATATATTCAGGGAAGAAGCTGAGTTTTGTTGTGAATGAGTAGAATATTCTGTGCATGTTTTCTGTGCAAATAAATGTACATATAAGTGTGAAGCTTTCGGGTTTACTACTTTTACCATTTACAGGATGAAGGGTAAGAGGACCTGTTGCTGTATCCATTGAACATTCTGAAAGTGATATAACCCTGTGATAGAACTCCTGGCTCTGCTACCCCCATCAGAGTGCATGAGAGATGAGGTGGTTTAGAGTCCCAACATATCCCCATCAATGACATCAGTTCTGGGAGGAGCGACGCTTTCAGTGTGCATGCATAGAGTTCAACACTGGGGGTACATTGTTGGCCAACACTACAGAGGAAAAAATTGGTTGATGATTGTAACATGAGTAAACGGCCTGTAGGTTACCAACAGGAGAAAAGAGTTCCTGAGTCTTCTATCTGGATCCCGACCGGAGGAAGGAGGTCCTGATTCCTCTACATTGATCTTTAGATCACTAGAGGGGTCACCAGGAGGAGGAAGGAGGTCCTGATTCCTCTACATTGATCTTTAGATCACTAGAGGGGTCACCAGGAGGAGGATGGAGGTCCTGATTCCTCTACATAGATCTCTATATCACTAGAGGGGTCACCATCAGGAGGAAGAAGGTCCTGATTCCTCTATATAGATCTCTATATCACTAGAGGAATCAGGAGGAAGGAGGTCCTGATTTCTCTATATATAGAGATCTATATCACTAGAAAGGTCACCAGAGGGAGGAAGAAGGTCCTGATCCTCTATATAGATCTCTATATCACTAGAGGGGTC